CATGAAAACGATGGAGCATCACCAGTCTGACCGTGCGCAACCTTACGTTACACGCTTCCGGAGCGTCACGAAGAAGCATCCTCGAAGCAACCTCGAAAGCAAGCCGGGCTTTGTTAGGCCTAGACAGTGTGTGTTTTGTGTGCGTCATTATTGCTCTTCATGTGCTTCCAAAGTCAATAATGGCCGAGACGGAAACCCCAGATCTTCCAACGGGAATTCGCGGAAGCAAGAAGAGGAAGGCAATGGTTCCCCGTGACCGCGAAAGAGAAGAACGTTTGGTTGTCGTTGGCGGCGACGGCGACGATGAGGAGAAGAAGATCGAGGAGTTCTTCGCCCTAGTCAAGAACTTTCGCGAGGCTCGCGATCGCTTGGCCCGCTCGAGGCCGGCCACGGCCTCGGCCGCGGGTAAAGCCGACCGTTCGGATGCTGATCATCACAAGAGGAGGAGGCAGGTGAAGGACCACGTTTCCGCTTGGGATCCATGTTTCCAACGTGAAGACTTCGTGGAAGAAGCTGTGCTCATGGAGAAGGCCATGAAAACCCTAGCTTTCGGTCCATCAAGATCAGCTCGAGATGGAGCTGAAAACAATGGAGAAGGAGGAGGCTTGGATCTCAGGCTCTCACTTTAAATTAGTAAATTAGAGTTTTTTTATTGTTTTAAAAAAAAATATATTGTCATGTAAGAGTCTCTAAAAGTTATGTAAATTCACAAGTTTGGTTTGTCAAGTGGTTTTCCGGTTATTACATCTAACATCTATTTTCTCTCCCTCAATAATATTCTCCATCTGGCACACCCATATTAGTGAGTTGCGACTAATGATTTTAGACATAGCTTGACTCTTAAAAGTTAAATGCATTCACGTACCAATACCAATGATAAAATTAACGACCGTAACAAAATAAAGGTGCAGGGGATACTGTCTAACTGGTCAAAAGCATACCACATCAAGAATTCATTGGAATTTCGCGTAATTTCGCGCAATTACTTTTGTCGCCACTTATATTTTGCCGTACCATTTCACCTTGATTTCATAACAATCGGTGAAAAATATGAAAGGGTATAATCGGGGGCTTTCGCGTGGCGCGAGCCTAATGGCTCAGTCAAGATATTTAAATAGGAATGCCTTTAAAAAAAGTGAAAAGCTTTCTAACCTCATAAAAAAATTTATTCCTTTGTCTATAAGTAAGAGAACTTTGGACCTGAGTATATCCTCAAACTATTTCGTCTGAACTCTGGAACGTTAAACTCGGGAGCATTTCCCCCTGGGGTGAGGGAAGAAAAACTATCCCTCAACCACGGAGGGCTGGGCGTGCTAGTTACTCTACATTACATGGAGTTTTGCTCACGTCTCCATTTGGACGAATAAAAACTCATGGCCTGTTAAAATCAGAAATGCAATCCTGTCAGGCCGTCATGTGTATATACATGGACAGCACGGGGCGGCTCCAATCGGAAGCACGTGCTTCCTCTGCTTCGGTGAGGTACCCTCGTAACACCACCAAGGATCCAAGGCAAACTCTCGGTTAATTTGATGGCTCGGTCAATATCTAATCACGAACGCCTTCAAAAAAAAAAAGCGAAAAAGCTCTCTAATCTCGAAAAAAAATAAAAAAATGATTCCTTTGTCTCTAAGCATGAGAACTTTATGATAAGTAGGTGAATCTATACCCACTCACGGTTAGTAGCTTTCGAGCTTTATCGTGAGCCAGCAAATAAAGGAGGAATCGAGTGCTGTTTTAAAAGGACACGCAAAACCTTTTTTAGGGAAGTTTCCGGGTGTCCCTTATGAATATATTTGAATGTGATTTCGTATGATCGTGCGTTGGATATTCTAATCTCGACGAGCAAAATATTAAATTCCGTGTCATCAATGCCACCCAATTTCCGATGGAAAGCAACCTTCGATATTCCCGATCTAAATGACTAGGAAAATTGGTACGAAACGCCGTGCAAAGATTTAAATATAAATGTTTGAATTCTCGGACTAATTTAAAATATAATATTAAATGCTTGTGAATTGAGAAAGAAATTTATGCTCCGTCTATTTTGCGAAAAGTGAATGGTTTAAAAAAATATTTTCTAAAAAATGACCGTCTGTATCGTTCGCAAAAATTAATGAACGGAAAATATTTTCATCATCCATAAAAAAATAGATATAAATTATTATCGGTAATAAAAAAAATTTCATTGATTAATTATTTCAAGCGATACAAGTGATCATTTTTAGAAAGATATTTTTCAAATCATTCATTACAAACCGTGCCTAAATTAGCAACGATTTTACTTGTTAGGCCTACTTTGAGACTCGAGGGTACCAAGGTAATTTATGGGGTAGGCACCAAAATTTAAAAGTCGATTCTTTATATATTATAGATAAATAGATAGATCTAGGCCTTTTGTGGAACTTACTGATTAAAGTTTGAGGTAGAAATCATCATTTGAGTTCGCTTTATGTAATAGAGAGATTTAGGGCTATCAAAAGAAGGCACAAGCGGCATATAAAATGAAAAAAAAAATACAAAAGAAAAGAAAACAAAGCACGATTTCAATTATTTCAGTGGATAAAAGTAAATTCTCAGAGAACAGGAAACATTTAAACTAATAGAAGAGAATTTATCGGGAGCTTAGAGAATAGCATGATTATTTTGTTGGCCCCGGAAGCTATTGGTTTTTAAGTAGGGCCATCGAAATTAAATTACGATCTACACTGTTCTAGATTAGGGCCACATACATAGGTCAATGAACAAACTCGTTAGATCCATTGCTAAATTCAGAGCATACCTTCTTCAGAGAGGCGTCTTTGGTGCACCCGGTGCACATCGCATCTCGATTCTCGGAGGTTTCACGCTGAATCGACCAACATCGACGGTCCATGATGCATTAGGCTCGTATGCATCCGGATCGCGTCGGAATTCTTTCGGGGCCATCCCGTGTAAAACGATTCCTCCCATGAATCGTTGGTCACGAGACTCGTGACTCACGGTCCCAGCAAAAACATGTGTGCCGTCGTCCACTGGGAACGATCATGACTCCAGCTTTCCATAAATTTTGACCGTACTTTGCTTTTTACCTTTTTTTTATATATTTATTTTCGGTGAATAAATCCAAAATATCAAGACGACATAGAAAAAGCAAGGTGCAAAATTGCAAGTTTTAGTCGTCTTGGCTGTACTTTCTCTCTCTCTCTCTATTTTTTTTCGGTCTTTGGCTTTTTGCATGCTAATGTAAGGTCTGAATACTAATAACCTATGAAACCAGCTACTTTTAGTCGTGCCAAGTCACGAAAAAATGAACAAAAAATTCTAACCGATTCGATTAATTAGCACACGTGAATGTTTTATTATAAAGGGAAAACGGCATGAATGGTCATTGAACTTTGTCCCAATATCTAATGCAGTTCCCGAAATTTTAATTTGTTCAGGGTGGTTTTTAAATTTTTGGTTCATATTCGAAGTAGTTCCTAAACTATATGAAAATAATTAATGTTGTATAAAGTTCATTGACCATATTGAACAAATTAAAAAGTTTAGCGACTATATTGCTCATTGAACCAAAATTTGTGGACCACTCGTGTCATTATCTTTATTATAATCGTCTGTATGATACTTTTCTTAATCATATTTAATAAAAAAGGAATTTGTCAATTCGAAGACATCGATGGATTTATTGCTTTTAGGTGTTGGGGGTAAGTGTCGCGAGCGACCCTTTAGCGAAATCCGAGGAAAAAGTTGGTCGCCGGTGCTTCGCCGGCGGACCTAACCGTCGGTTTTTCCTTTGCTTTTGACAACTTGGCCGCGGTGACGACAGCTAGTGACGCGCCGCCTGTTCACGCGGAGTTGTTGGAACATCGCTCCGGCTCTTGACGTGTCGTGTTCAGGCGGATTTATCAACTCCCCAAGCCCATCGTCCAAGTCGATGACGTCGCCCCTGCCCACGTCAGCAATGCGCTGCTTTGCGCGGCCCCCCGAGCCATCGTGACGTTTCCGAGGTGACGTCATCACGCGGATTTCTTTCCTTTCTTCTGAAATTACGTAAAGCCCCCCCCCTCTGCTTTGAAGGTATTTACGTATTTTGCCACCGAGCGCAAGAAAATCTCTTCGCTCGGAATGGCAAAAACGTACGCGACGGAAAGTGGCCGGAGGTTCGCGGGCGTAACGGGGGCGAGAACTCACGGCGACTCCCGCGCCACGGTGCCTGCTGAGATCGGCGGTGACTTCGTCTCCTCGTACTGATACGTGCAGCATTGGTGAGCCTTCGAGGGACCGGGAAAAGCGACACGACCCACGGGCGTTAGTTTGTTAAATTTGAGCCGGACATTACTCGAATGGTCTGATAGAAAATAAATGCCTTGCGTTAATGTTCGAAAACGTTTCCATAAACGCATTCCGAAACAGTTGCTTAGGAGATGTCAATGGAGATTTTATTTTTGTGATTGTGATTTGTGTTCAAATGGGCTTAAAATTATAGGGTTAATATCACGAAAAAACCCAAACTGATACACCTGTGATAAATTTACCTCAAACTAATTTTTTTATCACAAAAAATCCCAATCCGGTACATTTGTGGCAAATTTACCCTCTGTTGGCTTCTGTTAAATTTTACCGTCAAATTGCTAAACACGTGACAATTAACAGGTATACCATTTTGGAATTTTACCCTATATTTATCACAATTTTACTGATTCGTAATTTTTCGTGATATTAATTCAATTTAATGGAGGGTAAATTTGTCACGGATGTACTAATTCGGGGTTTTTGGTGATCAAAAAATTAATTCGTGAAAAATTTATCACACGTATATCAGTTTGACGTTTTTCGTCGTATTTACCCAAAAATTATATGGGATTGGACCATTTAATCCGGGTTCAAATGAGTGCAAAATTGAAATTGTCAGCCGGAGATTTTGGCTCCGTTCCCTGGATGGTGCGATCCTCGAGGGCAATACCGTCATTATCCCGCACCATGCGTGCTTCCTCTTTATAAATCGCTGGGTCCAGGGCAATAGAAGTCGAGGTTTCAAAGAGCGAGAAAAAAGAAAAGAGAGATTCAATAAACAAAGCCAAAGCGCTTCACTTTCCTGCGAAACTCCTCTCGGTTCGTATCGTTTGTCGCAGATCTCCGCCTCCGCTCCCGTCCCTCACAGCGTCGCGCCGAAATGCAGAGCGCGAAGAGCGAGAGGGACGCCGTGAAGCCCGAGGATCGTGGCGATCGCCGGCGAGGCGAGGGCGGAGAGGAGGAGGAAGAGGAGGAGGAGGAGGAGGAGGAGGAGGAGAAGATCGAGCAGTTCTTCGCGATCCTCAGGAACTACAGGGAGGCGCGGAACCAGAGGAAGATGGAGCTGATGGGGGAGCTGGAGGCGGAGGAGTCGAGGCGGAAGAGGAGGAGGCTGGCGGAACCGGACGGCGGGGAGCGGTGCTCGAGCTGGGTCCCGCGGTTCGAGCCGGAGGATTTCAGCGCCGACGTCGCATTCAGGAAGCGGCCTCTCCCTCTCCCTCTCCCTCTCCCACTCCCACATCCTCATCCTCCTCTGCTTCTGCCTCTGCCTCTGCCTCCGCCTCCGGCGACGGCGGTTTCGCCGGCGAAGGCGGTGGAGAGGGAGAGGAAGGTGAAGGACGATGGGTTGGAGCTCAAACTGACGATCTGATGGATATCGTCGTCCCCGGAGATATCGGAGGATCTGTTTCTTCCTTCCATGGCTCTTGTTTAGGAAACTGGAAAGTAGGAGATGATTCTGATCAAGCAATGCCCCCTTTTTTTTTTTTTGTCTGAAACTTCCGATCATCTCGGTTGAATCTCATCTTCATCTGTCTCTCTGTCTCTCTCTCTCTCTGTTGTATCGTTCGATCGGTGAATCAATGTGCAGTTGATTTCGAAGAACGGAACGACTCTGTTTCTCGTAGAGATCTTAAATTTCCTTAGAGAAAAGTAAAATACCGAAAATTTAAGGGACACCAACCAGGCTTGTCTAAAATCATTTTTATTCTTCACGTTTTATTTTAAGATATACCGAATCTCGTGTTACTGGTTTTTAGGTGCGTTCGTTTCGCCGAAAACGAGCTTTTGGGGAAAATATTTATCGAAAAATAATCGCTCAGAAAAATAAATAAATAAATTTTTTTCATCGCCCACGAAAATAATCAAGCATAAATTAATACGTAATATTTGGAATATACGTAGTTTTCTTTTTCTTTTTTTTGATCCGACTCGAGTAATCGACGTGGCATTTTCTTGCTCAAATTAATCTCTTTTTATGACCGGTTTGTTAAACGTATGAAAATAAATGAAAGAATTGAGAATGTACTTGGCAAATGGAAATCGCGACCATATGCGGGCGCTAACGCAGACGAGCAAGTCAAGTCTTCATGTAAATGCAAAGAAATAAAACGTAATCAGTCTACGATTAGTATCCCTCGCGAGCGAGGCTTTTTCCTTAGCAAGTCTTGTCTAAGAACGCGTGCATTGTACTTAATGAATAAAGGGCATGCGCGGTTGGTTAGGGCCGATTAATTAGTCCGTTAATTATGATTATCGCGGCCACTTGGCACCTCACAAGTTGCGCATATCTTAAGTAAGATGATTCTATCAGGATTAATGCCACGAAAACCTCAAGGTAGATTTGTGATGAATTTACTCCGAACTAATTTTTTGACCACCAAAATCTCCAAACCGGTACATCCGTGATAAATTTACCTTAAGCTAATTTTTTGACCACCAAAAATCCAAAACTGATTCATTTGTGACAAATTTACCCTCCATTAAATTGAATTAATACCACGAAAAATTACAAACCGGTATACCTGTGACAAACGGAGGGTAAAACCACAAACTGGTACACCCGTCAACTATCACGTGCCATCCAACTAAGAAATTTGACCGTTAAATTTAACGGAAACTAGCGGAGGGTAAAATTGTTACGGGTGTATCGGTTTGAGGGTTTTTTATGATAAAAAAATTAGTTTGGAATAACTTTATCATAAATGTACCGGTTTGAAATTTTTCGTGGTATTAACCCATTTTTATCAATACCCAAAGAGGAGGAACACGAGACTGTTTTGATTTCGTTCTCTAATTACAAATGCATTGGCAGGTCAACGAAAGTCATCCTGGTTGGAGTTAATTTAATCGAAATGCAGATTGACTTTGGAAAATCTCCGTCAAAACGACACGGCACGTGTTTAAGTCAAAACCGGACGGAGCAGTCTTCTCTTTCCTTGGGTTCATCGCGCAGCAGAGAAGACGTCTACGTCTCTTCTCCCGTAGCCCTCTAGATTCGAGCGTGGGAAACGATTTCGGGTTTAACGTCGTTCGAAAGTGTTGAACGGATACCTCGTGACCCTTTTCACTGTAGATCGATTCTCGTCCTACGAAAAAAAGATCAAATCGGTAGTCCCGATCCAAATCTATCATCCGTTAGCAATTCGTCGAGTGCCCCCGTAAAAGAATGCACTCGGGGTATCCCGATTTGAAAATCCCTCGGAAATCGAAGATCGATTTGAAGGGAAACGTGCCGTGAACAAATTTCGCCAAGCGACGACACAACTCGAAAGATCAGATCGGATCGCGACGTTACAGACGGCCGATCTAACATTTCCTTACGTGCATAGGATCGCGACACAACGGAAGAGTGGAGCCTGCAAAGTTAGACCATAATGGAGAGAACAAGCGAGAAGGGGGATTCGATGCCTTGCAGAAATGGCAACCCACGAGAGCGAGAGGCCTAAAGCTACAAGTCGTAGAGGCGGCAATTGTAGAGCGTACAAAAGTCCTGTTTTTCGCTCGGGCTACGGCTGCCTGTCGTCCATACAATAGTACTTTTGAGGAATGTGAATCTCTCGCTTTTTTGACGCGAAGCAAAAGGAGCGGGCAGCAAGGATGCCCCGTTTCTACGTAATAGAAAAAGTGCGTGGGGGCCGGGCCCTCCGGCGGATCATGAATTATAAAAAACTTAGTCTCGAGCGGACAAATGGTGGGTTCTATAGGACAAAACTCGAGGTTAAACGGCGACCGGACCTTTTGCGTTTTCCACGAACAAGCTTTCTAATTGGGGACGGGCAAATGGTCCGATCCGAACCGAACGTGCTAGCTTGATACGCGGGGTTTAGCTGGGGGTGGGTAATGGGTATAGGATACGTCATCTATTCTCGCGGAAAGGTTGGTGAATGCGACGTACATAGTATTCGGGACTAATTCCGCTGTATAAATTATATGATTAGCGACGTGTAAATGATCCATTTGTTAATGTGACATGCATTCCGATTAACTTTGCGTTTGAATCTTGAAATCCTCTCATTTCTGATTGACTTCTTCACGCGTTGCTTCCACCTAACCTAACCTGACTGGACATAATAAATGCCTTCTCCCAATACACAACCTGTCCATATAGATCCATGCTCACTCATTGGCGACATTCGATTAACTTTTAAATGAAAGCACGGCCTGGTGCTTTAATTCCCAAATAGGAATTTAGGCCACACGATACCGATGCGGGTGAGATTTAGCTGCTGCCCGGACACTTGGCGCGCTTTCGTGCGTCTCTAAATCACCCGCATGTTAGATTTACTTGAAAGAACTTACATGTTTAGACTAATCCAATCCCCTCCGTTTCTCCCCTCTTTGTACGTGTTGCCCCGTCATCGACCATCACGCATGTTGCCACCACGTCAGACCTCCACTCTATTAGAACATGTTGTATAATTTTGTAGGTTTTCCTTTACATCTCTTCTTTCTCTTTGGTCCCACATAGGAAGAATGCTAGGCTCCTTTACTCCTCTAAGCCTATATAAAGGCTTCTTATGTACATTGTTACTTACACCATGATAAGAGAATAAATACCATTCTCTTTTAATCTTTCTTTCTTATCATGGTATCAGAGCCAAGATCATTGTTTTGAAGAGTATGCTCTGCGGTTGCCATCAATTGGATCTTCCGCATCAGAAATTAAGACAATAAGCTCATTATTTTTTTTTTAAAGTATGCTCTGCGGTTGCCATAAATTGGATCTTCCGCATCAGAAATTAAGATAATGAGTTTAGGGCTTTTTTGCCATCATCCTTGCTCGTTCTAATCCATGCTTCTTCTTTCTCGATCCTTTCGATCACCTCAATCCATATTTCTAGCTTTGCTAGTGATTTCTTTTTCTGTCGTCATGGGTGATTCTAATGACCGTATTGACGTCAAACTCGATGGTTCAAACTATTCTCTTTGGAAACCATCGGCAATGGCAGCACTTGTTTACCGCGACTTGTTTGAGCATGTTGAGGGACTTTGTCCTTGTCCTGATGCTCTTAAAAGTGAATCATCTGATGAAGTTGCAAAACGTGCCGCTGAAATTTGAGCATGGAATGTTGCTAATCGAAAGGCATGGGCTATCATTTTTGGTTCCATTGATCCTGCTCTTCGCCCACAATTTTCTAATGTTGTTGAGGCGAAAAGTTTATGGGATCAGCTTGCCGAGATGTTCACCCAGACAGGGGACATTCGAGTTTATCAGTTGAAGCAAGAAGTTTACAGTGCTACGCAAGGGTCTCGCTCTATTCGAGATTTCTACAATTACATGCACTCACTTTGGAGTCAACTGGATATTCTTGCTCCTATTCTCTGCCCATCATGCCTGAACTGTACTCGGTGTCCATCTACTCGACTTCAGACTCAAGATAGGCATCGTCTACATTCTTTTCTTATGAAGCTCGGCTCTCCCTATGAAGGTGTTCGCAGCCAACTTCTTCACCGCTCTCCAAGACCATCCCTCCTTGACGCTGTCAAAGAATTATAGTCTGAGGAAACTCGTCTTGGTCTTCTTTCCTCCTCGGCAGTTTCTGATTCAACTGCTATTTTGGCTGCTCCACCACGTGTTCCGCCTACAGTTTTGGCTGCTCCACCACGTCCTTCGCCTACTCGTGGTCCTCGTTGCCTTTCATGTACGTATTGTCATCGTCCTGGTCATGACGAGTCACATTGTTGGAAGAAGAGGAATGCTTCACGCCTTTCTGCATTACCACGAGTCACTACCGCATCTCCAATCTCTCAACCTATTACTCTGGTTTCTCCCTCTACGGATGACCGTATTGTTGCTCTTGAGGCCCAACTTGCCCGTTTGAGTCCTTCTCTGCCCAGGTCTTTTCCCGATTCTGGTACTTCTACAACTCTCTCATCTGCTGGAAGCACCGCTGCAGCTACTCCACCTTCAGGTGATATTTCTACTACTTGGGTACTTGACTCAGGAGCTGCTAGACATATGTCTACTTCCACTGTTTTTCTCACTAAGCTCTCTGAGCTCAAGCAACCAGCATATTTCTTTACTGCTAATGGTTCTCCTCTACTAGCTACCCGACAAGGTACTCTTACTGTCTCTGAAGATTTCAATGTCCCTGATGTGTTACATGTTCCCTCTTTGGCTCTCAATTTATTATCTGTTGGACAACTCACCGATGCTGGATATACCGTAAGCTTTACAAATAGCTCTTGCTTTGTGTAGGATTGTTTGAGTGGCAAGATGATTGGCAGGGGCAGTAGACGGGATGGACTTTATATTATGCAACATCTCCATCTTCCAACTTCCTCTCTTCCTCATCCTGTGTTGGCTACCCTCGATCTTGTTCGGTGGCATCAGCGTCTTGGACATATTCCGTCTTCTCGTCTCACCGTCCTTCACCAACAAGGTGCTTTGGGTCCTATTTCTTCTGGTAGTCTTCCTCCATGTTCTATCTGCCCTTTGGCCAAGCAATCTGCTAAGCCTTTTCCTGT